GTGGTGGTCTTGGACTGCCGCTCAGAAGTGCACTGCCGTGTTTTGGAGTCACCTGGTCTGTCACCCTGAGAGCCCACAAGCTGGTGTTTCACAGTAACTCCTTACAGAAAATTGTTCATTTATTTATTTTATGCACTTTCTTTGTTTAACAAAACAGTTCTATTGCAAAGAATTATCCCACCAGCAACCATCAGACAGAGATCTGCACAAAGATCTGCACAGAGATTGCAGCAGTGCAAATCACATTCTTCAGTTTTGCACTTTCTAAACTAAAACAGCTATCTTTGATTTCAAGAAGTTAAATTTTCCACCATTTCACATTCTTTCTGTTTTACAGAAAAATAAAAGCAATCAGAAAGCAGTTCCAGTACTATCAGATCCATGGTCTCCTTACGACTGATGCAGAAAAAGCCAATACACACATACAGAGCTTTCAAGTTACAGTGGCTGCCACACTGCCAGGCTAAGAACAGTTTTGCAAAAGAGTTGGGAAGGTCAGATGTTCTCTCATCATAAACAGTCCTAGAACAAATCCAGGCAGAGAGGCAGGAGGAGCACACATGCAGGAAATCTAACATGCAGAGGGCATAAGTTGAATGCACTGTAGCATCAGTATGCCTGAAGACTATGGACCCACAGAAAAGACCACAAAAGTTTATAAATTAAGGTGATCAACACCTCCACTGTGTTTACAAGCAGGCCGTCATCAGAGCTACATAGGCATTGGCTTCTAAGCATGTATTAGGGCACATAAAAACAGCGACTAACAGGGAAAACACATTTCTAGTTTTGTCTCAAGGGTTACAAGTCTCAGAAGGGTGTACAACTGCTTTCCACTATTTTGTAAAAGAATGTTAATAATTTTGAACTAGGCCACTCTGGACATTAACAGCTCATGACAAAGAGCAGACCTGAAATCAAGTGGTATGCACAAAATGGAGTGAAATATTTTTAAAGTTACTCAGAAAAACTATGCAGTTATTCATCATTAATACTTTTTTTTTTTTTGTGGTTTATCCGTTGCATATTTTCATTATACTTTTCATATACACTATACAAAACTTGAATAATTTTGATTCAGGGAAAAACCTTATAAACTCCTAACCCTTTCTCTCTGGATGCCTTTTATAAGGGCCATGAATACTGTTGGTCTACATAAGCTAACTATGTAATCATTAAATTAATTAAAAATGTTATAGAACTGTACTCTAACCTAAAGAAGGATCTTTTTTTTTGTTTTTCAGCATTTTGAAATACCAAATCCCTTTACATTAACTATTTTGTGATATCCAAAGCTTACATATAATTCATTCTAACAGAGCAGTTAAAGAACAGGCTGTGTCAACCTTTTAACATTTGGTATATGAGCATTACCTCATTTTAGTGTTTCCTTTTCAAGACCTTTTTTGGTGGGGGGGAAGTTTGTAATATATAAAAAGGTGGCTGTTCATGAAATAGTGGTCTGGATAAAAAAGTTAGCAGTTTGTGAAGGAAACCCCAAAAACATAGCCTAGTCTTTGAGTCTTTAACTTCCACATGGCAGTTCTGTTAAATATCTCATCTTTTTTATTTCTTTCCAATTTTGTACATCTATGAAAGTTTCAAAAGTGGTTTTCCTACTTCACGTAGGAAAATAAAGATTATTCAACAGCACTCCCCCACTCCCAAGGAGGCCAATACAGAGTTTGTACTAGTTCCGAAGTTAGGGTTTTCCAGTAAAAAATGTAGGAAGTGATCTATGTTTGCCATATAAAGGCGTTATTTCCAACCTGAATACAAAATCCCTGTTGCCACCTTGTTGATCTAATGCAAGATATTAGGACATAGCACAATCTTAGCATTGAAAACTGCTGCAACTCTGTGGAAACGTTGCCTCATTCCCACTACTGCAGAATGAACATCCTTCAACTTGGGAAGATTTAACTGTGAGGAAAAATGTCTATTCTAGTGCCTCTAAGAGCTCGTTTTCCCTACTTTTTTCTTCATATTACTTTCATGAAATAAAAGTAACTTTTTCTTTGGAGCTTTGCAAGTCATACTTTGGTTAGCAGTACCAGACTGCTCAAGAAAAGCTACAAGAAAGTCACTGAAACTAGATTTTCTTAAGATATGGTAGACATACAACAGCCTAGGCATGGTATGCCCGTGCAAGGTTTCAAAAATAAATTGGATGCACAGGCAATTTATAGTTCTGTAACAACATGCATATGTGAAATGTGTGCAGTTTAGAGACAACACCAATATTTGATTTGTGAACATTCTCAAGCCTTTACCTTCACAAAGAAATTCCCACCAGTCATGATGCCTGTAAGAATTACTACATGAAAATAGCCCCTCTGTACTCTAGACCATTTGTGCTTTCTATGTGTATAAATAAACTTAGCCTTTATCTTCTGTGAACTTTTTGGGGGCTGCTGCAATGCAAATGTGCATCTTTAAAATGATAACTTTGTTCTGCACCAGTGTGATGACCGACCTGCACTGATAGTCTATGAGCATGGGCACCACTACTAGGCTTTTAAGACCCTCTTTTGGTCACCATGACCTCCACTAAAATGTTCCTCTTTTAGCCTCCGCTGTCTCACAGTTTGCAAGACAGAGTGAAGGCAGATCACTAATTAGGTGCCAAGACTAATTTTCTCACATGATAAAAGGATAAGTTTGACCCTCCCTAGGGTAAAGAAAACAGAGTGAAATGGTGATGTTTCCTACCAACCTTTCATTCCATAGCCTCCTCCCCATTTCCCTCTCAGCATGCCTGTATCTCAGCTGCGGGTGCCATGTCAACTCCAGACTGATAAAATAGAGTGATGGGGAAAAAATGACCCTTGGAGGTGGAGCAGAGATAGGGCTGGGCCGGGTAAAGGATGGGAGAGGACATTAAGGCCGTTGAGGGACAGCAGATGGGTGGCCACAGAGTGTCCCCAGGCGAGCGGCTACTCCAGGATAGGTGCAAGTGGGCTGGGGGGCCTGTGTGCTCCTGAGCGGACTCCCACCTCAGGGCAGAGTAGTACTGAAGCCGCTGTGCTGTGATGTGATTACTGTGGGGGGTGTATATCAAACCACAGGGTACACAAGTATCTGGGAGCTGTTCCTGGTTACAACATCTGGTGTAGAGTGCTGTTGGCCCTAAACTGGCCTGCGTGTCTATGCATTTGTTCACTTACACGTGTGTGTGTGTGTGTGTGTGTGTGTGTGTGTGTGTGTGTGTGTGTAATCCACTGTCACACACAAGAGGTTATTATGCTCAGGTATTATGTGTCTGCATGCACATACCTATACACAGCAGCATGTCAAAATCTCATAAGCTCTTGGGTATCTTCATGTATATGTGTGATGAGGGTTTGTTGAATGGTTATCTGCAAAGACTGTGCATATTTAAATATCAGTTTGTGTATTCACTGTGTGAATATCACTTACTGTATCTGAGTGTGCACTCAGGTCTATTTTTATGTCTGACTAGTTCAAGGAAGCAGCTTTGATTGTAAAGAGAGTAAGTAAGAGATGCAGAGTTTGCAAATTTCATGATAGAGCGTGGATAGAAAAATGCCTTTGGTCAAGGTTAGAGAAGCATGTTGCCCATATCACAGACAAAGGAGAAAACATGCTTGTCTGTTCAGGATTAATCAGTATAATACTGCCTGCATTACTGAGAGAATGTTCTGTGAAAATTTTATTTAAAAGTATAGATGTCATGTGTAGCCTTTACTTGTCTGTCACATACAGCTACTATGCCAGACTAATGTGCACATTTGTATATTTTCATACAGCAGCACGTGTCTCTTCTGCAGTGCTTTGCTTTGCTATCTGAGTAAATATGACTGCATATTTCTAGTTGAGGAGCATGTAGAACAATTGGGATGTACAGACCCTTTTCATGTATTGGTTTATGTTTTGCAGAACTGATCTCGCAAAGAATTGATTGTCATTGCTCACTGACAGCAGGTAAAAATGAAAGATAGGTTATTTTGATGAAGATTTCCTACTAATATGATATATTTCTACCTGCCATTTGTCTCCAGTGTCAGTAGTCAGCATCATCTCCTTAGCGTCTTTAAAAAATGGGAATTAATGCCATGTTTTGTACCACCATCTGGTTTAAAGGATTTGAAGAAAGCCTTCATTTAAAATTTTAATCTTTAGCAACAATTTTACATGAAATGTGAAACAAGCATGAGGGTAAGAGCTCTCATATTGTCTTCTATGCCTCAATCTGTGATCTGAAGGGAACAGTTTTGGTGAGTGTATCAGGATAGTTCAAACCCTGGACATATTTGCTGGTTGATTTCTCAAATAACAGTGCCAGAGGAGTCACAGTCATCGAGGCATTTTCCCTGACGCAAAGACCACTATCTTAACGAAGAACTCTAGAAACTCAAGCTGCTCATGCTGAAGTCATGATGTATCCACATATGTATCTCAACTGAGATCATTGTTCTGTCCAGTTAACAGTTGTCTACCACAAATATATGAAGTACATAATTTATTAATGAAAGAAGGATGAATGTATCAGGATTCAGGGAATTTAGATATAGGGCACAGGTTTGTCATTGCTTTTTATGTATCACAGCAGACAGGAAGACTAATTTGATGTTATTGGAGCTGAAGCTCTTTAATCAGTATTTTTCTGAAATGGTCCAGTGTTATAGCAGCTGTCATCCCATTAAAGTGCTTGTGGATATTCTGAGCAGAATGATTATAAGCGTGAAAGATTGTTGAGGTCAAAAGTTTTGCACTCCCTAAGAGATTAAGATACTAAATTTTCTTCTGTTTCTTGTGCCATGTGAGTTTTGCAAACAAGTTGTATATTTCTCCACAGAATTCAAAAGTGGAGTATTAATTACCATCATTGTAGGGGCTTCAATTGACTCAAATGCTAAGGGAATCAGAAGGCAGCGATACTTTGAGAACCATAAAAATCAATTCTGTATGTCATACGGTCTTTTAAAAAACTTTAAAAATGCTTTGGATTTTAATCTTGTTCCTATAATCACAGGATAATGGCAGGCAAGAAGAAATAAATCCAGCTGCAGGTATAACTCTAAATTACTTAAACAATTTTAGAGGGAAATAGATGCTTTTTCTGCCTTCTTAGAATGTTAAAATGTTAATTAATTTTGTTTCAGACCATAATAAGCAATCAAAACCAGTGGGATGAAATGCTGCAGACAAAGGGTATAGTAGGTACTAACGGCTAATATTTCCTTTTTATTCTTTCATGGACATATGTGTAGGTTTTCATATTTATTTATTATCTTTGACAGATATTCTAGAAGACTGGACTAGCGCCATATCTTTGAAAGAAAGGCTATAGAAATATATGTTTAAAACGTATATCATAGAGCCATTGAATCATAGAATTATTTAAGTTGGAAAAGACTTTTAAGATCATATATTACAATTTTGAATATCTTATATGATAAGTATCATATGATTATCTTATGTGATAAATACTCATAAAAATCATATTTATCTAAATTTTATGTTTATATGCTGCTATACACCAATGTTTTGAAAATATCTTTCCAATATGGTGTTCTTCATGGTAGGGAGTTGGACGCTTCTGCATGTAAAATCTTGCAAAGACTAAATAATTACTGCAACATTCTAGAGAGTGCATGTTCTATGACATGCATTATTCCCAGTTTTCAGTTCACTTAGTCCGATAACTGTGTCTCCTATGTCTTGTTTTTTGGTAAAAGGAACAAATCTGTAACAGGATCATATCTACAGAGGGACAGTAATAGGCAAAGACTCAGAGAAGTGAAAATCCTGTAGAATAAAGGTCTAGATAAGAATGAAAACCAAGAGTGGGAAAAGAAAAGAAGAAAATAAAAGGAAAAAGAATGAGAGAAAAGTTTCTATTTGGATTAATAATCTCAAATAATATTCTGAAGTAGGTTTCCAATGTCAAAAGTAATTGCAATTAAAGAGTGTGTATCCACTAATGTATCCACTGAATCCATTGATGTATTCATTATACATTCATTGACTAGAAGAGGACTGAAAGTGAATGCCTTCCCAGTGCTGTTTCAACCCAAACATAAATGTCTCATTTTATAAGTTCCTCAAGTCATCTGTCTGTAATTCTAAATGATTACATTTTAGTAATAGATGTGTATCAAGCTTGGTGTGGTCCTTGCAAAGCTGTGCTGAATTTATTCACAAAACTAAGGAACGACTTCAGTGAAGACAATGTGCTACATTTTGCTGTAGTAAGGACACAAATCCTGTGTGTGACTATATTTACATCTGGATTTAAATATATCTTCTGATTTGCATATCCAGAGCTTTCATTTTGCTGTCTTTATACTGAATTGCCATAATTTGGGCCTGGTTGCTTTCCCTGTATATATCCTCATAAGACTTTGTCTAGAGGTAGATTAGAAATTGTAATAAATATGTAAGAAGCTATAATAAAAAAAGAGTTGATATCTCACAACTTCTGTTTTCTTTGTGAGATTGAAGAAGTATTCAAAAGCCAAACTATACGACTTTTAGGTTTAGGTCTCTATATTATGGACCATTGCATTTTAAATTCTTACATCCATGAAAAACTGGTGCATTGTTTTTTGCAAATGTTACCTGGTATTTCATTTTTAAGCAAACAAAAAGGGGGAAATTAGAAAAAAATCACAAAACTGTAGTAGTAAAAACATTTGTTTACACTAGCAGTACATATATACATGAGTGTATTATATCTCATATTTAAAGTAGATAAATTTGCTTCACAGACTCAGCTTATCCAATATATTGACCAAGTTCATCCTTTTTTATGTTAGTGAAAACTTAAAATTCCACGATGAAAGAACTTTTCAGAAAAAACATTAATTTTTTATACAGTAAAAAAGCAGAGAGTCATGTTCAGAGGCTGTCTCACATGCTTTCATACAGTTGACCACATTTCACAAAAAATTAATACACTAGATAATCTCTTCCATCATGACTGCATGGGCTACTTCTTCATTTATAGATGTTATTATAACCTACATGAGAAAATGGTATCAAGAGAAGATATTTTTCCATTATTAATTGCTGTAATACAAAGGGAAGACAATCCCATGTTACCAAAACTGTTCTTTCTTCATCACTATAAGGACTGTTAGTTGCATTTAGGACTGCAGTTTGAGTTTGCAACACCAAAATATATATGAGTGGGGTTTTCCTGTGAGTAAAAAGGTTTCCTTTATATACGCATATGCATACACACTTATGTAAGCAAATAATTTTTTTTGTCTGACTTCAGGCAGAAGCTGACAGCATCGAAACTCTGAAACCATTTAAGAGGAGTTGTGAACCTGTGTTTCTTTTTAGTGTTGTAAGTACATCCCATCAGTTTCTTTTAATGCTCTGCCTACTTCTGCCTTAACTTTTTAATAGATTTTAAAATAGATGTGAAGCTGTATAAATCCTATCTTTACATTTTACATTATGTAGGATGGTACTCTCTGATATTGTTTGCTTGAGCTGTTTCCCATGTTTGTGTGCTGCACATACAGCCACAGAAGAATTGTGGTAGTCACTGTTTGGGTAATTAGTGAGAAATACAGGTAAGTTTTCCAGGTTTGCCTTACATAAAGTGCCTACATGTGGTTACACTGAAATAATTATTTTATGCACGCTTTTCATCACAGAAAGAGAGTTTACATTTCCTGGCATTGTAAGATTTTTAAGATAACAAATAATGTTGTGTTTTCATTCTTGAGTAACCATAGCAATTAATCATATATTTATTATCTGCCACTGATGGACACAGAAAACTGGTTCTCCTAGGACACAGCTCCAGGGAACTGCTCACTTGAGGAGAGGTGGGGGTTGCTTTAACTTGAGGGTGCCAAGATTTGAATTTCCATAAGCAGGGACCAAGGATAATGATACTTTCAGGACACTTTCAGGTTTGAATCTGAATGCTGCCTAGAGATGTTAGCAGTATTTTGGGTCACCATTAGCTTCACTACTGCATCTGAATGTGGTAGACAATGCACTGAAAAATCCCACATGCACACAAAAAAAGACAGAAAACTCCATGTTACAGAAATTAAGAACAAGTAAAATCCATATTTGTATTTGTTTCCAACTGTATCATGAGTATTGAGCCTAGAAATAAACATGGAAAATTTGGTAAAGAAGGAAGCAAGGAATTAAATGCATGAAAAGTTTCATTCTGAAATAACAGAGGCAGTAGTAGCTTTGGTATTCCCTTCCTAAGGCATAGGAAGTAGCTGAAAAAACATAGCAAGATATTGCAAGTTTCAAAAATTTAAGTAAATGTGTAAATTAAGTGATGAAAACTCACTGAGGGTGTTATTTTCTCTTCTACAGCATGGTAAAATTCTTGCAATGGTGAAAGGTGTAAATACCCCTCTCATAATTAAGACAGTAACAGAGTTAGTGCAAGAAGAGAGGGAAATTGCAGTTGAAGCAAAAGAACATGCTGAGGTACTCACAGACCAGATACTTATGCATAAATGTGTATTTTTATTACACTTACACTCTTTCTCTAAATGTCTATGATAGTGTTTAGATAATGTTTAATTTTTCGTATTTTTGTCCTAACAATAAACTATAATATATATGATGCACTTTTTTTTTAGAAATCAAGTAAAATTATCTGGGTTCTAAGACACTTCTAAGGATCATCTAGTCCAGCCCCTCCTGCCACAGGCAGTCTCACCTTTCACTAGATCAGTTGGCTCAAAGCCATTGCTCCATACTCAATTAATCCAGTTTCCTACTAAAAACAAAGGCCATTCAACAAGTCTATTCCATCATTTTTGACCCCTGACTTCCAGGTAACATGAGGATAGCTCAGTCTGACCTCAATAGCCTGGACTGTGAAAGATCCCACAGTTGGAATTCAGAGTAGTCGTGAAGCCTGGAAAGTTAATCCTCCCTTGTTGCTTGTTCTCCTCAGAGCCCACAAATTTCTACTATTATTTCTACCTTATAAGAACTTAACAAATTTACAGGTTAGTCTAGCAATGTAAGAAATGGAGAGACAGATAAAATGCTCCTAGCTCATAAATGTTTTAGTAATATTTTTTCTTTCAGGGCTAAGTATTTTTAATATATATGCATCATATGAAACAAAGACATGGGAAATAATCATGTCTCATTGCTTATTTTGTTAAAATGGAGATAAAATAACTCAGAGTAAAAAGAGCTTTTTAACAAACTGAAACTCAGTTAAGGAAAGTCAGACCAATCAAAGGTCCTTCTTAGAGCTGCCTGTTTTCCAAGGTAGCAAATCCATTCTTACATTAAGATAAATATGTTGTAAAGATGTGACAGCTATGTTTGGTGACTTTACTTTTGCACTGATGATGTACTTTTACTCCATTTGCAATTACCTTAGGTAGAAGAGCTCGTTTTTCAAGAAGAAGTTTCATCAGAAGGGTCTGCTGAGGAGGCTGTAGAAGAGGGTAAATATATTTGATTTATTTTAGAAATGTTAACAGAAAGAAAGAGAATAAATGTCTTTTGTTTAATAATTATCTATGTCTAGCACTAATAGACCTTCATTTGGTTGTGTTAATGAAATGCCATAATTGAGCTTTCTTCTGTAAGGAATTAATGTATTGCACTATTATAATCAATATTTTCACCCACCACACTGGGAACCTTCAAGCTTTAGACAGAAGTGATATGTGCTAGGGAATTTTCCTGTGTAAAGTTAAGGCCTGAAAGTCACTTCTAAGCAGTCCCTGTCTGAGCTGTGTATTTCTGTTGAGGTGGAATACTAAGATGGAGCCAACCTGAGAGGATTGGAAGAGTTAATCTGTGAATTAATGTCATGTCTTGTATCTCAGATTACTCTTTCACCAGATTAGATTTAATAACAGATTTAAAGAAGAACATAAATCCACAATAGTAGGATAAGCTTCCAAAAAGATTGAAAAATAAGCACCATCCTGTTTAAAAGTCCTGTCTGTGATTTGTCTCAGGTTTTTCATTAGCTGAGACCCACATATTTTCTACTTTTATTGTTACCTGTGGCTACTGAATGTTCCTACTGCTTCATCTATGGCAGAGAATGCTATTCTACAACCCTGAGATGAAATAAACTCCTCTATCCTCTCCTTCTTCTTGATCTTGCTTTTTTTCCCTGTGAGAGACATTAGATCACACTCACAGCATCCCTTTTCCTTCCTCTTCATGTTTTGCTTTTTTTTTTTTTTAAATTGTATGGTTCAACTGACATATTCCTGACCTCAGCTTTAGCCTATATTTTTTCTCATAAACCCTATGAGACCTAGAAGTACGGTACTATCATTTAGCAATTATCTACAGACTTCACACTAATCCCCAGAACCTAAACATGATAGAAAATCAGAAAACAGAGCTTTAGCTCAGGTTCAGCTTCACATTAGAGGATGTCACAGACACTGTAATGTATTAACATTTGGTGGCAATATTTTCCTTAACACATGCAGTTCCTTAAGTGTTTCTAGTATCTGTAACATTATCACTATCTTAAATTCTTCTACAGTTTTTGAGATCTGATTGAATTACAGTCAAATGCTTAAACGTCAACTTCAGGTCTAGTAAAGATGATCCCCTTAATTTTGCTGAATGTATTACTTACATTACTTACAGACATAATAGCAAAATGTAAGGTTAAGTAGATCCTAATTTGTGCCCAGACTTTGGAACAGAATCTGACAAATCTTTTCTGCTAAGGGTGATAATGATACCGAAATAATGAGAAAAAGGACTAATGTAGATATAGTAGTAGTCATGCTAAGGCTTAGAAAACTGCAGTTCTCGGACAGGCCCTGGGAACCAGCCCTGGGAATGAGCTGGGGACTGTGAAAACAATAATTAAAGATAATTAAAGAATTTAATAGAGCATATAGAACATTTAGAAACTTTCAAGATAAGGCTAAAGTATAATAATAAATAAAGGGTTCTGGTGATGGGAAAACATGCGAGAGGGATTAAAGGGGGGTA